GATGTGAGTACCACCTTACAGCTGTCAAAGTGCATTCGCGCTCCGACCGCCGCCTGCCACGGAATACCTAGCAGAATATCATACGCCTGTACATCCAGCACGATTACGTCACACAAACAATGCACCCGCCCCACCCGTATAGGCACGTTCGTTATTCGCCCTTTACAATGCATACTGTCTTCCGTAGCGGATATATACAGCTCATCCAGTCGGAGGGGCTGAACCTGTCCTTCCTTTCCCAACTGTTTCATCAATCTCCAAGAAATGGCGACCGCCGACGATCCCGAGTCTAGGATGGCGGCCGAGGGGTTTCCCCAGACCTCGCAGTCACACTCAACGCTTTTCCAGGTTATAGGATAGGCTCGGAGGAATACCTCGGGTTTTTCCGAGGCAGAGTCTACAGTCTAGATCATTCCTATCCGGTCGGCTTCGTGCACCTTTGAGGTCGAGGGCTGCGACTCCTCGTTTGTGGGTAGGTCCCGTAGGACCGGCTTTTTGCCCTTTCGACTTTCCTCGAATCGGCGCCTGTTTTTTAGGCACCGTTCGATCAACTTTTCGTTAGCCCCTTCGAAAATGGTTAGCAGATAGGGAATAGGGACGGGGATCCGAAGATCCAGAGCCTTCAAGGCATCCAATACGCCAATATGGCCATCCTTGTATTCAGGACCAGGCGCCGCAAGGTCTTCGAACCCTGGCTTCCACGGCCCGAGGTCACTTTCCTCGGTAATTCGTTGGACGTGACGTATCACTCCGATGGTCCCGGGTTCTAAGATCACCGCAACCATGTATTCATCGGACCCTATTTCGGTGGCCGCAGGGGTCACCATTTCCGTTGCCCCGGTATCCATCACTGTGGCCACCCTCCCCTGTCCTGCAGCGGTTGGAGCAGCCAACGGGATTTGGGAAGGCCCAGCGGGCCCACCCTGAGCCCGAGGTTTCGGGCAATCTTTCGCAAGGTGACCTGGCTGATTGCAGTTATAACAGCTTAGGGACTGGACAGCCCCGACCACGGTCAATCTTATCATAGGGGTCCTGGCAACCATAGCCGCTTGTTGTCGTTGTGCGGCGGCTAGGTGTTGCCGCTGCAGGCCCTGAACAAACTCTGTCAACGGGGCCACTACCGTAACTAATTGTGTCGCGACCTCCTTCATGGACACTTCTTCCTCACCTCGGCCTCCTTGTGCTTGGCTAGGGCGACGGGAGGCCGAAGCAGAGGAATAAGCTTTCCGATCCACGCCCTTTTTTGTCGGACCCAACCCGAAGCGATCTTCGAACATTCGTGTCGTAGCGGAGTAGCTATTGCGTCGAACACCCGAAGGGTCATCTTCGTCGGATTCTGAGTCCAGACCCACATCGTAATTTTCTTTCTCATACTTAATTGCGTACTGAATTAGCCTCGTCAGGGTATGTTCTATAGGTTTGCTTTTCTTGCGGATCTTTTTCCGCAGACGAGAATCGGGCAGTCCTCTGACAAAATCGGTCCGTACCATTTTCTCGTCCACCCCGGAGCGTTCGGCTAGGTACGTAAAACGTTCAACATATCTGGCCAAGGTCTCCCGAGGCTACTGCGTGTATTCCTTCAACAGAAAAATTCCCAGGAGAAATGAAAGTTGAAAAAACATTCTATTAAAAAAAAATCCTTCATATTTATAAATTATCATTCCAATGTTCGTCCGGTTCTAAAATTTCCAGTTTTATTTAACAAGTTCCCGTCTAAATATGAGTTTTCCCTTCCAACTACATCTATTTGTTCAAGATGGAATGAAAGTCTCGATGAGTTTATGAAATGTCTTAATTGAACTTTCATTTTACTATAACAAATACCTTCTAATTTAGATTGGATTAACCTATTTATGAATTGAAATCCTTACATAGAATGACAGTCTAATTAAAATATTTCATGAACTCATCCAGACTTCCATTCCATCTCTAGCATGCAGTTCAAATAAGAAGGGATGCCCCATTCTTGGATTGAAAGTTTTCAAGTAAGACGGAAAATTTTAAAATTGGAATGACATTTTTTAAGATGGAATGAAAATTTAAAATTTAGAATGTAATTTTACTATAGAATGATTATTTAATTTTGGGATTTTTTTCTGTTGTTTATTAAACGGAGGCATTGACCCGGTGCGATGTGATCAAATCTATCGAGAAATTTCCTCTGGAAGGTTGCCCAATGAATGAAGGGGTTATGTCCATACCACTCAAAAGCGGTTCCGGCTAACCTTCCGGGTATTCGCTCTCGGAGCAACTGATCCGACCAGCCCAAGGCTTTCAAGGCCGCTAGCCAGGTACGAGGGTCGGTGTCATCTTCGAAGAAAATGGGAACTTCGGAAGGAGGAGGTACAAAGTACAGGGAATGATTGGCCATCCCCGCATGGTTGTCACCGTCGTTTTCACCCCCAATTCCGGGTTCCACCATCGCGGGAGGCGGGTTTCGAGCCCGGCCTCTCGCTCGGTTCTAATTGCTATTCGCGGGCCTTCGCCGACGGGGAGCCAGCCTACTCAAAAATATGAAAAATCTAATAAAAGGATCAAAAGGAAAAGAAGAACTTTAAAATAGGGTAATCATCCAAGGAAAACCTCGGAGCCGAAACGAATCAGCTCTGATACCAACCTCACGCCCCGTCGCGGTTTCCCATACGGGGTCGCCAATCAGAGTTCTAAGAGGGGCATTACCGAGGATTTTTGGCCTCAAGGGTTGAGTCTCCCGGACGGAACGGGAGGCCCTCGTTTCGGGGCAGAGGTTTTCCCCGGAGTCGAACTGTCGTCGCGGAGTCCCGTGGGGGTCAGATCACTCCGAAGCGATAAAATCAAAAAAAGGTTTCCGCAAAAATGAACTGCCGTCATGCATCGGGACGGAGAAAAGGCATAAAGGGGAGAGGGTCATGGAGGCGGAGGACAAAACTTCGGCCGTCAGGGGTTTGGGGGATAGGTGGCGGGTTCGAAGCCTTCAGGCTTCATCATCGGCCTCACAAAGTGGCCAAACCCTCGGGTCTTTGCTATGGAGGTGGTTGGTTCGAGGCCTTCAAGCCTCGGCGTCGGACTCACAAAGTCCGCGCGAAAGTTTCCGGGAGGGTAACGCGGCGGGAGGACTCGTCGGCATCCGAATTCGAAATTGTGCGAGCAGTGTCCCCGCACTACGGGAAAGCTCGGGGAAACGTGTCGCTCCCTCGTAACCCAGGACCAGCTATCGCCAAGAACACGAGTCCCCCTGGCGACACCAGCGACAATCAAACTGCGGCCGCCACGCGGCGTGAGCGGCCGACCAGGGCAACACCGTTAAACCCGTGTAAGGCAATATTAGGGTCGGGGAATCAAAACAATCGATCATTAATTTCAAAACCGTTCCCCCTTATATCACACGCCCGAGGCGGGTCTTGCCAACACACTTGCTCCGTCCGCCTCAGCGTGCGCCGTACGTTCGCATCGGAGTAGACGTTGTCGTCATCTGTGATGGGGAAGGTCGGTAGCGAGATGAGACGGTCAGAGGTACGCGATGAACACGGGCAAGATCCCGCGTTCCCGGTCATCCGAACAAACACCGAATCCATACAACAACCGACGCAATTCTTCTCTCTTAAAAGTGGGTGC